ATACTCAAGTGAGTTATTTGAGTAACTTTAAGATTTCGTTGTTTCCACTGAGACAAGTTACTTGAGGCATGTTAAAGAGCTTTTATGAGTCAAAAAGTTCTATTGGGTTTAGTCATTTCAATTGTAGGCAGATGACATTGAATTTTGAATTGTTAGAAGAAAATAATTCCACATGGAAAACGCAGAAAATTTAAATAATTCAATGCATAATGTATGTGGTATTGTTCTTAATATGAATGCAGCAGCTGTTGCAAATTATTCAATTTTCAATTACTTTTATTTTAATTAATAATAACACTAATAACTTATAAATTAAAAATAAAAGGAACAAAGGAGAATCTACGTCCGTTACGACCCTTTCGTGCGGGTATCTTCTTTCCATTTTCTTCAAGATTAATCATTCTATCCACTCTCTCTAGTATCTTTTCATCAACCGTTTTTATTTTTTATCTATTATGTGACCATTATAAATAACTGATCCCCGCCCCTCAGTCCACATATTCCTGATTCTCTTGTTTTCTGTTATCCATTTTCAAACTTGATATCCAACTGAACTTTTTTGATTAAATAATTTATGCATTATATAATAATATCAAATATATATTTTATATATAAATTCATTTTTATGTATCAATTATATATTTTATTTATAATAAACAAATATTTTAAAAAATGCCTAACTCTTGTTTGTGTATGTTTACATACGAGTATTATTTCTTGTGTCAATTTTCACTTCAATTTCAAAGTTGCATTTGACATTTTTGGACTAATTTCGACTATATTTTCAAGTAAGTTAAATTTACTTAGCAATCTCAAGTAAGTTAACTAAACCAACGAAGCCAGTGGAAACGTACTATCAGCTTTTCATTATTGAAGTAACTATGGTACAAAAGCAGGAGATTAGAAGTATGCTCTATTTTTCATCAGAACTCGGCAATTTTTTTTTTAAACGAATCGAAATAGAAAATAGGTTCATTACATTTATTTTGCAAAAATACAAACCCATTTACATTTAAATAAACTCAAGTTATTTATTTAGCTAAATACTACTAAATAAAACTACTGCATGAAAGGTAAAGGCCAAAAACAGACTAAGAAATTCAGAAACCCATTCTCTTATAATCTCCTTTGACTGAGTAGAGAGGGTATCAAACACGCAGTCATTGTAATCTATTTATTTACGGTAAAAAAGCAATGATATGTTAGACTGACTTGAATGTTCACGGGACCGCATTACGGCGATCTGAGAAGTAAATCATAAGTATAGATGTGGTTTCAATGACACAAACAATTAAGTTAAAAGGGCATTTCTAGCAGCGATCTTTCAGCTCACCATACTCAAAAATCGTTTGAAAAATCCTTCGTATTCTGGCAGGGGTCCTTTGCAAGGCTGAAGGCTGAAGGCTGATTTCGGTCTTTCTAAAGACCAAACGAAAGATCTGCTATTTATCAGATTTGTTATAAAAATTTTGAAATGCGTATTTTTATATGTAACACAATATATGTATATGTTTCTTTTATATTTAAATTTTAATATTTATTTAACATTGATTTATTCATCTATGTATTTATTTATTTATAGATATTTAAAATATAATTTTGAAACTAATTAATTTTGTTTTGCCACTGCCATTTCTTTCATGACATGAGTTAAATTCATTACACAATAATTATATATAAATAATAATAATAATAATTATACATAAATAATAATAATAATAATTATATATAAATAATAATAATAATTA